TTGGACGACCGTAGCTCTACATCTGCCTACATTGTCTACCTAGGCAGCAATCCTATTTCTTGGAGCTCAAAGAAACAAAAAACTATAGCTCGTTCTTCCACAGAAACGGAGTATAGAGTTGTTGCCTCTACTGCTTCTGAACTTGCTTGGGTTCAAGCCTTACTTTATGAACTACATCAGCGTCCATCCTCAACTCCCACTATCCTATGTGATAATATTGGCACAACTTATGCTTGTGCCAATCCCGTCTTTCACAGTCGAATGAAGCATGTTTCTATTGATTTCCATTTTGTCCATGATAGGATTGCCAAGGGGCAGCTACGCGTTGTCCATGTATCCACGAAAGACCAATTGGCAAGTGCACTGACTAAACCACTATCCAGACAAAGGTTTGAGTTTCTTTGATCCAAGATCGGCGTATCTGATGGATCCTCCGTCTTGCGGGGGCGTGCTAATGATACAGAATATTCACAAGATCAAAACAAATCAAGTAGCAAATCTTGCTTAATCAAAATCCCAGAAAGCAGCAGTCAAATCAGATTAGTGATAGTAATTGATTCTGATATATCAGATCACTTGATTTTAGGGATTATATGAAATTGTAGTTGTGTATATATACACATGTACTCTACAGTAAATAAGAGAAGTTCTTATTCTCACATTTCAAGTCTTTTACAATTTGTGCTTAGAAACAGTATTTTCATGTAACTATTTGTGTCCCAAAATACTTGGCACGTTTCCTTTATTGAGAGTCAATTTGATCAATTTTTGGAGTAAAAATAATTAAATTGACTCAATTTTTAAAAATTAAAATTTTGATATTCGAAAATTATATGAAAAGTATCATAATGAAATTCTTTTCATCTCAATATGATAAAAAAAAATATATCTTAAAATTTTAGTCAAAATTTTATGTAGGGGTGTTCATAGGTCGGTTTGGATTGGTTAACTCATTTGTTTTCATTAAGATCAAGACAATTGAATTTGAATGCACATCTGAATAACTAAGATGTTGTCTCTAGATTTGAATACTAAATGATTAAGACTTGTTTGTTTTTCAATATATGTGTACTTTGTTAATTTTGTAAACATAATAAATATAAAATTTAAAAAAGTACATGTATTTGATTAAAAATAAAATATTTATGTTGGCCAGATTACATAAATATGTTAAGAGGTGTATCCATTACATAAATATAAGAACAATCAACCACAAAAGTGGACAAAGTGGAAGTGTTCAAGCTTCAAATAGATGATCTATCATGTTCAAAATTGGACTAGCTTGGATATAGAACATTGTTTGCTGGGACTAATTGTTGTAACATTGTCTGTACCGGCAGGATCATCATTGAAATGTATGGCTAATTAAGCTTTCTTTACTATCCGGAGTAGGTGAACGTACTCCGTAGTCGAGAAGGAAATGATCTTTACATGAAAACGAAAGAATCACTTTGATGGGGACGAGTAAATTTTAGGTTTAGCAAACATAAAAATCATATTTGTATGTTATAACTATAGTTTGTATAATTGTGTTCCATATAACAAACTTTATGTTTGCTATGGCTATTAATCTGTATATTTCAGTATACATATATATAAAAAATATGTATTTGGGTCTATTTGTATATTTCGGTATACAAATGGGTCTTGCATTTGTATATTTCAGTCTATTTGTATATTCTGGTATACAAATGGGATGACAAAAACATGAAATGTTTGCTGCGAATTACAAATAAAAGAAACTATGGCTATAACATTTAATTTAAATTAATAGTTTGTTATTTCAAATAATTTTCCCTTGACAGAATGATCAGGAACTGAGAGCCCAAAGAAATTCAAGGAGGACTTTAATATTTTGAAAATAGAAAGTTTTGACAAATTAAAAGATCCTGAACGGGTCTATCTAAATAGAAAGTATATTTACCTATGGATCCCTACATCTTTACATTCTATTTAGGACTTAGGATACGTGTAATGTAATCTCTTCCACGCCTTATTTTGGATTAATAGGTTATACTTTTTTCGCTAGTCTTAAATATTCAGACAATTAAAAGAAAAAAACGAAAAAAAGTAAAATGAAGAAAGTTATGAATTCCACTTTTCACTTATTGACTTCCTTACTTTACTCATTTTAATATTGCTTGCCTTAGATATCCTTCGATATTATAGGCCTCATCCTCCCCGATCAATATTAGAGAATTCAGTCATTACACATACCAAGTGCTTTATTAGTTGTTTTGTTATTTTTACAAAATATGTAATTATGTATTCATAAAATCAGTTTCACCACAAAAAAAAAAATATGTTTTTAGACGCATGATGCTTATTACCTAGATCATACAGAATCTTATTTTCTAAGAATCCTAACTTTTTTGGAACATAATCATCGATCTAGCCACATTAATAAAAAAAATACTATTTTATTTATTTCAATTTATGTGTTTTAGTTTCTTTTTAGTCTATTTAAAAAGTAATACTTTATCATTTTTAAATTCAATAACTCTTTAATTTTAATATCTCCATTCATTAAAGGAATAGTGACATGGAAATAAAGGTTAAATAAATTGTCATCTTATCAACTATGAAAGTAAAATTTGTGATACTATGTTTGTAGTCACTACTCACACATTAGTATTGTAAAACGTTATCTCAGAACTTGAAATTGTCAACGCCATTATAAAGTCGTTGAAACTTATGATGGTTACTCTGTAATATTTGACTAATACTTTAAAAATATCAAACTTATGAACTAAATGTTACTTGTCATCAAAGAGAAGATATAGAAACAAAAGGTGTCAACTGCAATGATCTCATGATTGTATTTAAGATTGATGTGCTTATGATGTTTTGACACTTGAACTCAATTATGTATTTCTAATATGCATTAATGAATTTCCATGTCTCATAAGAATGTGCATATTGTTGTTTAGAAATATTATAAAATAATCAGCAAGATATGATTATGGACCATAATTTTAAATATTTTATAGATTATGAACCTGATATGATAAATTGTTACATCGTGTATGAAAGGAAACATGTAGTCCAAAATTATGTATAACTGTCGTGACTCACATTAATGTGTTGTCATACCATGATATGTATGATGGATATTATAAAAGAGTTGTGTTTTATCCGCAATTAATGAATATGTCATTACATATTAGTGTTATGTGGTCTCTGAGCCAAGTGGAAGAATGTACTGTTAGACTTATTATTATTTTATGTTTGGCTGAATTAATGTAAAACTCATAACTAATAATAATGAAGAACGTCTCTCATCTGTTAGATTGATTAATTGATGGACATACATGATTAAGTCTCATTTCTATAAGTTGATCCTCCCTCCATCATTAGGGTTATCATATATTATTTGCACAATTTCATCACTAGCGGCGCCGCTAGTAGCGTAAGGTTAGGGCATGGAGGTAGAAATCGACTTTCAATCAAAGCTTTCACTCATCTATGTATGATAATGCTTACGCCTCAGGTATATTCTTTGCAACGTATTCTAATGAGATTATCATTTAAGATCTTGATATACATTAAATTTATGTGATAGCATGAACGTGTGTGCTTAAAATGGGCACGAGGTAGAAATTGATTTTCAATTAAGGCTTCTATTTATGTATGATAATGCTTACGCGTTAGGTATTTTTTCTGCAACGTGTTCTAGTATAATTACCATGTTTAAGATCATGAAATGCATTAAGTTTATGTGATAGTATGAACATGTTTGCTTAAAACTTATGTTTACATCAACATCTTGGATTCTTCGAGTGCCACATTCATGATAATCCCCAACACATTCTACTATTATAAGAAAAGTATTTTTCGACTTAAGCACCTTATTTTTTATGTTGAGGATTGATTGATCTAGACCAAAGATTTGATTATATATAGGAAAGAAATATTCTCATATCCTGATTCTGCTTTGTGGGATGATACCAAATGTTTCATAATTTGAACAAATAATTCCAAATAATATTCATATGCAGTATATACAAGACAGGCGAGAAACTATATATGTAATTAAGTATTGAATTAATTTACCAACAAGGATTGTGGTGGAGTGGTAAGTACTCCTTTATCTTTAACCAAGAGGTCTCAGGTTTGAGTCACTTTGGATATGGAGTCGTCTTTATTAGAGAGCGTTATGTGGAGCTTTTCGGAATGAATTCAAATTTAATCGGACTCCAATATAATTATCGGAGATGAGAGACCAAAAAATAAGTATTGAATTAATTTGTTAAAGTAAATATTAATATTCCACATTTGAATTTTGTTTGATAAATTTTGATTATATATGAAGTATAATTTTACTAAAATTTAATGGGAGGGTAAAGTTGGATTAAATATGATGTATGTATAGTTGGATTAAATGAGAAGTATAATATTGTCACTTTTATACGTCACTTGTTCCTAAGATAGATTTTCATTTTTACTTGTTATTTTTGACATTTCAAAAAAATAAATAAATTATTTTTTCCCTATTTCAGCATTAAATATTTATCTTTCTAATCATTTTTCAAGATCTAACTAAACATCATTAATTAGGATAGTTTGTTAAGTATCTATATCAATAATTATTTTCTTAATGAGTATGTCAAGTTAAACAATGACAAGTAAAAACAAATGGAGGGAGTAGTAAATTCATAACAATTTGTCTTTACCCAATACTCCCCTGTCCTATTTACTTGTCTAATATTTACTACTTTGATGACCCTTTTTACGTGTCTATTTTATCCTTATTATTAAATACTATATATCATCTAACACATTTTTTGAAGTATTAAATTTAATAAAATTAAAGGAAAATATAATATTATTATTTTTATAATTTATTATTTCTTAAAAAATGTGTCGACAATAACTAGTTGGAAGGAAACTTTGGACATCATTTTAAAATAATATTTTAAGTCAAATGAATGATAAATTTGTTTTATTAATTGGAGGACATTTTTGGTCATTTTTCAGTAATACGTGCATCTGCCATAATGAGGATTACATACAAATTTCTGCAAAAGCAACTGCTCGTTTCTGTGAAAGTCTCTGTCAGTCTGCTTCCTCACCGTTGAACAAACACACCCTTCTTGTGTTGTTCTCTCTATTTTGGTTCATCATATTTCTCTCTATTTTCTCACAATTTCTCTTCACAAGTTGAACAAAAAAAGGTTACCCACTTCAGGTATTATGCTTTAATTTGCACCTTCTATGGAAGAAATGGAGTTGCATATCATACTCTCTCTTTCGTTTCTTCAAGTGATCAGTGTATTTTTTTCACTGCTTTTTATTGTACATATTTCATTTTTTTTTTGTGAACTGGGTTTCTGTTGTATACTATGTTGCGTGATTGATAATGGATTTTTGGAAAAATAAGAAGAAGATAAACAGTTAGGCTTTGGTGCTTAATGACTTGAGTTTTTTTTTTTTTTGTGAATGATCTCACGATAATATTGCTATATTTTAGCAACATAGTATAATAGTTTAGTACTTTATTATTGTAGTTATTTTGTTGAAATGTTGGTGATACTTTTGAAATTAAATGGTGTTTCTGGAACTAGCATTGTTTTGGGATCATTTGTGTTTGTTCAGAGTTTATTGATTATGATTGTTTTTATCTTTTGAATAATATCAATTTTATGGTAGCTAAATGATGAATATTTCGGTTTGACGGACCCCCATTTGTAATGTAATTTGTGAATGGTGTTATTTTTCTTTCCCTTGTAAAATTTCTACTCTAATGGATACAACTGATGCCTATTATAGCTGTTCTGAATGTATTTGTTTATGATCTGTGTTTATATTGAGTTTTTCCTGGGAAGTTATCAATGATACCTTGTTCCTGTGGTGGGGTAGGGGGGAGAGGGTTTGTGAAGGGAAAACAAATTATTATATGGGTTTTTCACTGCTTTTTATTATACATATTTCATTTTTTTTTGTGAACTGGGTTTCTGTTGTATACTATTGTTACGTGGTTGATACATATGAAAAAAGGGGGGGGAAATGCTGATAGTTAGGGCTTTGGGGTTTAATGACTTGAGATTTTTTTTTTTTGAATGATACATAACATTATAGTTTAGTACTTTAATTATTGCAGTTATTTTGTTGAAATGTTGGTGGTACTTCTGAAATTAAATGTTGGATTGTGGGCTATTCTGGAGAATGAAGCTGTAGAGATAACAAAGTAAAACTTGTCTTTTGCTATTTTCTGAACTACAAATGATCTGTTGTTGTGTCCACCTACTGTTATTAGGTTTGCGTGTCAGTTTTTAATTCTGGTATTATTTGATTTTTGACTAGTTTCTTCTTCTTCTTTTCGTTTTTTGTGTCTTTAATGTATCATGAAAAATTGTTATATGAGTAAGAGAAATCCTTTTGACACATGGGGATGACCTGTTATCCGCCAATATGTTATTTTTTGCTATGCCTTGTTCTACCTCTGCATTGTCTTTTTCGAACTGACTTGTTATGTGTTACTTGAGCCTCTCTATCTCCATGAGATAGGGGTAAGGTCTTGGGACACTCTACCCTCCCAAACTCCACCTGTAGGAATACATTTGGTATGTTGTTGTTGTTGATTAATAGCATATATGACTGTTTAATCATGTGTTATTGATGCAAGTTTTTGTTAACTATGACAAATAGGTAGACACTTCAAAATTATTGTTCATGGCATCATCGGACGAAGAGGGTGAAATTGTTCCCAACTGCATAACCAATTACCATTTTGTTGATAGCAATGGAGGAGTTGCTTCATTTTCCATTTTGCCTCTTCAGTGGGGTGAGGATGACATACTTGGGGCACTGAACTCAGAGATATTTTTGCGTGGAACTGCAGATGATGGTCTTCAGCCCATCTATAAGAAGGTTCTAGCATGGAGATTTGAACTTTCTTATGCCCTGCCAGAAATTCATGTGCTCTCCAAAGATAAAATCTGGATCAAACTTCTTAAACCCCGAACAGGTTATGTAGATACTATCAGAACAGTACTCATCACTGTTCATTTCCTCCACTTTGTGAAGAAGAACCCAGACACAGTTGGAGGGATTGTGTGGAATTACATTGGGAAAAGTTTAAGGTGCTGAAAGTCACACCTAAATCCTTTAAATGTTTTGTTGCCAAATTTGGTTATAATGGAATCTACTAAATCAGTTCTTTTAGTGCATATGAGGTACTACCTTCTAAAGATGATCTACTAGAGCACATGCCAACAATCAAAGAAGCTGCAAGGAGGGATAAAGATTTATCTAATTCCAAGGTTGTGATGCTTTAGTTATTGGTATAACATGTTTGTTGTCGTGTTGACTTTCTGCATAGCTATCTAATTCTTTTGGTGTGTAGGTAGCTGAATGTAGTTTCAAAGTATGCCTCTTTTCTGTAAGACCAGTGAGAGTTTTGCACCTAAGGGTGTATCCTAGTGGGTCAATGAAGTGGCTTGTAAATCATGAGGTCTCACGTTCAAATCTGTAATACTTGATGATTTCTTCTCATCTGTCGAAGCCTTGATGGCTTGAGAGTCATGAGGCTTAAGTTATGTTTCAGTGTAGCATGACTATCACTATCTGATCCTTATTTGAGTGTCAGTTACCGGTCTATCATTTACTTGCTTTTGAACTAGTTCTTCTTCTGGTTGCTAATATCCTACCTTGCTGTGCTATCACCTGCTTCTGCTTTTTCACTGCGTATACATTATCATTTCCGGCATAATTCTATACTGAAATTTACATTTGAAAACAGAGTTTTGATGCATTTATTTTGGAGACATCACGAAAGAGGATACACAGTTATGAGGTTAGATGCAATTTATATGTTATCTCATTTTATGCTTAATCAAGAATTATCAGTTCTTACTTGTGGCTTGTCTAGCAGTGCAATCAAGCAAAAAAGAGACCCCGGTTTATTATTGAGACCGATAACGATGCTGATAGTGGTGGCGATGATGATGCAGTTGAAGATGAACAATTTGATCATGTTTGTGCTCTTTGTGATGATGGGGGAGAACTTCTTTGGTAACTCAACATTTCCAATATCTTGTGTAGGTGTAAACATTAAACATGGGCAAAGAAAAGAATAATTTGGTAAAAGTAATTAGAACACAGAAGGGCTAAAATTATACATAACTCAGAAAGTGTTACCCATGACTCTAGGATGAACTTGAGTACATCATATGATGATTTGCTTTTTTTCCCCTTTCTCTTTATTAGTTAATGGTTTTATTGATATTAAAGGGGGAAATCCCTTGTGCTAGCTACTAGGTATATATACAAAAGTAAAAAAATCTCAAACAGAGGAATGTTTCTCTGCTAGGAGCATCAACCATCTATACTGATTGTAATCTCATGGGTGCGCCCAAAATTTGCAAGAAGACGAAAACGCAACTTTTAAATGTAATTAAATCACTTCAATGCCCATTGATTTCTTTCTTTAGAGATAATTTATAAGGATGGCAAACGGGCATATCCCATGCTTTATTTCTTCCTTCTTATCATTCTGATTTCCAGCTATGGAGCATGTACTGTACCCTCGTTACCCATTCAATTTTGAACTGGTTCGAAGCGACACCCCTTAATCAATATGCTAGCAAATAATAGCTGACATCTCTTGATCCCTCCACCCCCAACCC